GATAAAAATGGCAGCCTCTTGTCTGAGCCATTGGGTTAGAAGCCAAGACACCTGGATATTTGAAGTTGCTGGTATTGGCAGCCCCTCAACTGACCGCATGTCCCAGTCTTTTCGTACCTAACCCTAACCCTAACCCTGAGTTCACCAGGATCCAGGCATCCTCCGCGTGGCCATCGTGCCCCCAGCCTCCAGGTCGGTAGGGCCAGACTTCAGAGCACCTGCCCTGGCTACCTGCACACCTTGGGCCCTCCCGTTCCTGTCTCTCCTTGCCCTCCTTTCGCCTCTTCTCAGCCCCTCCCTCAGTAGGTTGCTCTCCTATGCTTTACACAGGCTCTTTGCTGCCCTTTCTGGGTGCTGGGTTTTGTGATGATCAGAATGGGTGTGGACAGCCTGGCACTGTGGTGCACACCTGTAATCCCTGCACTCTGGGAGGCTGAGGCAAAAGGATCACAAATACAAGCCTCGTTTCGGCAAATTAGGGGCTTAGTAAGATCCCATCTCAGAGTAATAAATTTTCAAAAGGGTCTGGGGTTGTATGTGTGAAGGTGCTGGGCTCAATCCCTAGTATGGAGAGGGAAGACTTGGAACTAAAAGATAACAAAGAAAAAAACTAATATTCCCATGAGATAAACTTTTTAAAAATAGATTTTTAAAATACCTGACACTTAAAAATAGATTTTAAAACACCGAACTGAGGCAGTTTGGCTTACATCCTTTCCTGAATCCTAGTAGGCAGTTTAAGGTGTTTCTCTGTTGGAGATCCAGGAATTTAACACCATCCTTACCCAGCTAGGAGCCAGTGCACTTCAGCTTTCACTGGGCACAGAGATTTGCTTGGAGAGAGAACCTGTGGCTTTTATTATCCACCACAAAACTTTCAGTACCTCAGACTTGAAGAGAATTCTCATAAGGTCCCTGGAAATCAACTTCCTGGATTCAGGTCACCTCTTAACTGGCCAAAAGCCTTGAGCAAGTTACTTAATCTGCCCGTGCCTCAGTTTCCTCAATTAAAAATTGGAACAATAATGACCGTGAAGATTAAATAAAGTGGAATGTGAGACATAATGCAGTACCTAGCGGTACAATGTGTTAAGCTGGCGTTATCCTGCCTCAATTAAGTGGCCCAGTGTCTGTGCCGGATACTTGGTTCTCCTTCACCTAGTCGAAAGGCATTCGCCGCCTCTGGCTGGGTTCTCGGCACTGAGGGTGCGCCAGCCCTACACAAATGTTTGTTGGGTTAGTGAGTGAAGTTAGAGGAGATTACTTTAAATGTTTTCAGAGATAAAGTCTCTCTTGTAGACTGGGCAGCTAATCCAGCCTGTGATTTTATGAAGAGTTGTGTGGTCCGAGCTTGTCTGCTTGGGACTACAGAGTGTGTGGGTGAGTGGTGTGGTGTTAAAGAAGTCCGTTTGGTATTAACACGGGATTTGTGGAGAGGAGTGTGGAGAAGTGCTAGGTGGGTATGGTAAGAGGTTGGGAGTCTCTGGGTGTGCTGGGAACTACCTGTAGTCCCGCACCAGCACTCTGCAAGGCTGAGACACGAGGGCCACGATTGTGAGCCCTGCCTGGGCAATTCAGATAGCCTGTCTCAAAACAGATTGAAAGGTCTGGGGATGTAGCTCAGTGTGAGTTCATTCTGTGGTGCAAATAAATTAATACATAAAAACCAGAGGTGTGGCGCTGTCTTCATTTCGTTTCTGGAAGGTGAATTTCATAGGTTAAAGGACAAAGCAGGAGAGTAAGAGCTCAGATGTGCAACAGAGAGAACCGGAAGAGAGTTGAAGACCCCAGGTAAGGAGGGTACACCTGGGGCCGATGGCGCAGGGAGACCCAGCCTCTAGCGACAAGAGACTCAGGCCTGGCTGCTGCTTGTGCCCCTTTCCCAGAGAGCTGAGAGGAGTGGTCTTGAGCAGGTTATGGCTCAATGTTTTCTGGGAAAAACTATTTTGCCAGGGGGTTGAATTTTCAAATGGTACCAAAAAAGAGATATTATAAATGTGTTTTTGAAGATTAAAAAAATGCATTTTTGTATCTGCTTTCATGCTGTGAAAACCAAAATAGAATCAAGAAATACCCTATAATAAATTGGAGGATTTACCCATTTATCTATCAATTCTTAAAACTATTAATTCCATAGTTAAAATAGTTTGGCCTAAAATGCAGTTAGTTCAGCATGGGGAGGGGTGTTTGGGTTGTGTGTCCCGAGTGGGTGCTGTACACCAAGCCACGCTCCAGCCTTCGTTCAGTGTGGAGGAAATACTGGGGACCAGCTCTACCCCTTTGAGGCGGAGTCTCACCAAGTAGCCAGGGCTGGGCTTAAACTTGTGATTTTCCTCCTTATCCTCCTAGAGTGCTGGGATTGCAGGTGTGTATCACCATGTCTGGCTGCACTGATGTTTTTTAACAGTGGTTTTACAATATTTTAGTCTCTCTTTTTTTTTTTTTTTTTTTTTTTTTTTGAAAGGG